TACCAGGCGCTCAGAATAAAATAGCAAGTTTCCCGTTAAAAAAAAATATAAATTTCAAAAACTTTAATCTGTCAACACCATACATTCAAAAATATTCTAACGGCGTTGCCAGATGCAATTTTTTCTCTTTTTTGGGCGGGCTACTTTCTACTTTTATCTGGGCGCCTGGTATTTTTGTGAAATTTGTCCCCAAAAAATGCACAAAACTAGGTGAAATAAAAATTGTGACGTCATCACATAAATATATGTGGCACACGTAGGAGCATGTATTTATAACCGTAAATAAAAACAAAGAATATTTTTTTATTTTTTATATTTAAAAATATATATAAATTATTAATTTTAATAAGTATTTTTCTTAGCAAAGTAGCCGATTTACTTAGAATATTTATTTTTTTATTTTTATTCTCTTACATTTAAAAATATATATAAATTATTCCTTGAATTTTATGAATTTTATTGAGAGAACCGGATAATTCCAAAAGATATATTTATCTTTGTAGGAGGGCCTGTCACATTTTCAACTCATTGGTAGATCGTTTTCTATTGTCATCATACGGAAATCCGAGAATATAATAGAACTCTAAACAACCTGGAATGGAATGGAAAAAAATTTATATTTAAAATTTATATTTATTTTAAATAAAATTGGAAAAATATCTTCCGAACAAATTTTAAACTGAGTAGAGTAGCTTCCGTTTGGCATTTGTGTGTCGAAATGTGAGTGGATTATAATTTGTTTTTATACCCCCAGCCTTATGACTAATGAGGGTATATATAATTTTCTATGACAAAAATGTACCTCATCGAAATATTGGTTTTATACACTATGTTTCTACGGAACAAATCCGTTTCACATAATTTGTTAATTTACAAAGTCTTTCCGTATGTACGGCTTTTGTGCACTAGTCTTGTGTCGTTTGTGAAAGACCTAGTTCAATTGAACGATTCAATCCTCTGAGCGAATGAACGACATAGTTCAATATTGGTTATAAACAATCTCGCTCAGACGACTGACTCGTTCAATTGAACAATAATTATTGTCGTTCTCTGCCTTTGACTATCTGAACGACGTCAAACAAGAACGATTTTATAAAAAATCTGTTAAATTGAAGGAAGGTACGTCTAATAAAATGAGCACTCGGTACAGAGAAACGTTATTTCATGAAATGCTTTGCACAGAAGGCAAAATGCAAATGCTGCATTAGCTAGAGGATCAGTTTTTAATTTGAAGCAACATGTAAAAGCAAAGCAATGCGCTGTCATACCAAATGAACTGAGTGACCGCTTGAACGATATAAGGCAACTGAACGAGGTGGACGACCTAGTTCACTATAAAGAAAATACCTAATTCGTTCGATCACTGAACTGAACGAGATAACCCAAGACTAGTGTGCACGATAACTCTCGAAGGGAGTAACCGATTTCAACCAAACTTCGCACATCATAATATTTCTTCCAAACATAGTTTAAGTTCGAAGATGCGGAAGATCTATTCACGCCGGATATCTATTTTGATCTACAAAATTTTATATGTAGATCCATGTTTTGACTTAACCCCATCATTTTGACTTAACCGCCCCATTTTTGATAGTTTCAACGATTTAGTATCATTTTCCTAACGAAGTAGCTATAACTTGACATTCCGAATTCTTGGAGAGGGAAAAGCATATTTGCCGAAAATATTTAATATTGTCATATATTTGGATAAAGCTTCCATATAAATGTTTCGCCTAATTTTCTGTATTTTGTATGTTTTAGCCGCATTTTCCTACCAACGGGTTGTAATTAGGGATACGTAGTCGAGCGCAAAAGTAGACTTTCGATTTTTGCCTCGGACCAAAAAGTTGATTTTTAGAGTTTTCGACTAAAAAGTCGACTATTCGATCTTTCGATTTTGTCAAACCTGTTCAATACCGATTATCGACTTTTACCAACTAAAGCAAAATCGACAAAAATTTTAATTACACTGTGCGACACGAAAATTTTTCAGGGGTTCTAATGTACCAATTCTGCTTAGTTGGAGTCCCTGAACCACGAAAATACCTTTGGTTTTTCTGGGTCACTTCGAAAATTAATTTTATAACGGTATATATAGAGAAAAACGTGGTTTCATGGATTTTCAATTTGAAACTCGAATAACTTATTTACTTTTTAACAGATTTATATTATTCTTTTTTTCTTTCGAAGAGTACAATTTTTTCTTTCAAACAAGATATATATTTGGTAAATCGGTTGAGAATTGGCTGAGTTACAGCGGTTGAAATTAGAAAAATACGCATAAAATGACAAAATTTATTTTTCTTCGGATTGTACGATGAAATTATGATATCAAGCAATATAAGTTTTATTATATTACGGGGAAGAACATTAAATTAGCTTTCGAAAATGATAAAAATCAAAAAAATCGGTTAAAAAATTGGTGACTTATACACATTTTTGTATTGATTCTATGCATATTCTCTAAAGGAACTATGGGTCTGTGTCGTTTCCTGTTACAAACCGTTATGTTTGCAACAGGCAAAAGGAAACGAGATAGACCCATAGTTCCTTTAGAGAATATGCATAGAATCAAACAAAAATGCGTATAAGTCATACATTTTTTAACCGATTTTTTTTATTTTTATCATTTTCGAAAGCTAATTTAATTTTCTTCCCCTTAGTATAATAAAACATATATGGCTTGATATCATAATTTCATCGTACAATCAGAAGAAAAATTAATTTTGTCATTTTATGCGTATTTTTCAAATTTCAACCGCTGTAACTCAGCCAATTCTCAACCGATTTACCAAATATATATCTTGTTTGAAAGAAAAAATTGTACTCTTCGAAAGAAAAAAAGAATATTATAAATCTGTTAAAAAGTAAATAAGTTATTCGAGTTTCAATTTGAAAATCCATGAAACCACGTTTATCTCTATATATACCGTTATAAAATTAATTTTCGAAGTGACCCAGAAAAACCAAAGGTATTTTCGTGGTCCAGAGACTCCAACTAAACAGAATTGGTACATTAGAACCCCTGAAAAAAACTTTTTTGTTATTTTGTAGCACAGTGTTATTTATAAGATAAGATTCGATTTACTTATCCCTAGTCGTAATTTGGTGTACCATGTTCTTGAAGGGTGCCCAATATTTTTTATGAACATTTTCGAAATATGTTAAATTTGTGGCATAGCAAGAGGAGTTGTTGACCTCTAAATTGATATCAATTATAGTGATGTATCTACACAGATGTAAAAGTTGCACTTAAAAATTTACAGGCGGCTACGAATGTTAATATTCGCCCCTGTTCCGTATGTCGTCGTCGACACAAAATGACGTAGAGAGTCGTCTTTTGCAAATCGGAATTCCCGATGTCGTTGTCGACATTTATCGATAACTATTGAAACATTTTTGGTATTCCATAACAATGTTTGACGAACCGGATACGTCATTCTAGACTCTATTCAATACGTTATATACAATTCGTGTAAATAAAAATATATATATGGGATCTATATATATATAGGATATATATATATAGGATGGAATGTACGAAATTTCATCCCATTCGGATTATAAAGGGTGACATACAACTTGTTTAAAATAATACATGAACGGAGGGACAAGCATAAATCGACTCAAAAGTAATTCTACGTATATACTAAAAAGTAATTATGGGTATATCTCATTTCCTTGTGGATCTTGCAAACACTTGTACCAAACATAATCACGGTGAAGGATACCAACACATTTTGCACAAAAATATCAAACAAAAAAATAAACAATTGACTACAATTATAGATATGTGATTTTTTTGTTTTATTGATATTATCGATAAATAGTCGACATCGTCGCATGAGTGTTACAGAATACCAAATCAATGTCGAAGTGATGTCGACAAAGAAACGTCGTCGACAACGACATAAATAATCACCCCTATTCCGTGGTGATTATTTAGGAACCCATTACCACACTAGAGAGCATAAATTTCGATCTGATCGCTATGATATTTTGCACGATTGGGGTCAAGGTATTGGTCGATGAAATGGTCCACCAATTTATTTTTGTCAGTTTTTCTGGTTTAGAGGTCATAATTATAATCAGAACATCACAATTTTTATAGGGAGAAGGGGATCTGATCTCTATTCTCTCAAGAGAGTGCAAATACCAAAAAATATTGTCTAAGCTCGGAATATAGTTAGACTATAGTTGTAGTTGTGTTGGGTATCGTAGGGTCGACCTCGAAAGACTATGGTCTATTCATAAGAAAGCCTAACATATATTTTTCGATAAAATATTATAGAAATGTACTATGTAGGTAAAACGCTAAAACGTCTCCCCTATTTATAAAATCAACCTAAAATTTTATACCAATGATTAGAGTGGTGTATCATATGACGTAAAAAATAATATATAAATATTTTCTGAGCATTTATAATATATATGCTAAAAATATACGGACTTCTAAATATAAAAGATTCGTATTTTTTCTGTGAAACTTCTTATTTTGAAATAAATGTAAACCGCCTTTAATATACTTTACACTCAAACAATCGTCATGGAACGCAGTATACAAAACCATAATCATGTTGTCTAAAATGTGTATTGTGCCATGAATGAATGTGGTATCATATAAAAGACACAATTTTACAACTACTGCAAGACAATAAAATTGCTGGAGGGAAACTAAACCAAAAAAAATTTTTAAAAATAATAACACTTACAAAAATTGCAGCTACTACGAGGAGCATGTTATACGAATTAATGGCACAGAACAATTTTTTTATAAAAAAAAAACAATAAAATGCAGAATCAAGTGGAAAATATATATCTCGTCGACTTTTCCATTATTGACCCTAATTATTGGCAATATGCCACTTTGATCATATCACATTATCTGACGACTGCAATCAACATCAAACATTAATTTTTTTCTAAAAACTTTTCTTTCAATTACTGTTAGTAGTTATTTGAATATCTATTCAAAAATTGTTCTTCTTGTCCTTTTTCAGCGCACCAGTACCTCATTATGGGGTGAATGGATGGGTGTCTTGCACGGCGACGAAATTGAATATTTCTTCGGTCAACCATTGAATAATTCACTGCAATATCGACCTGTGGAACGAGAATTAGGCAAACGTATGCTCAATTCAGTGATTGAATTTGCCAAAACAGGGTAAGTCAAAATATGTTTTATTATGTTTTTTTTTAATTTTCTGTCTTCACTGAATTTATTGGTGCTAAATTCATATCCCAAAACACACCACATTTGAATAGTGAATTAGAAAAAATTCATCATCTCACATACTTTTTTAAGTCGTGACAACAACATTTCTATCCCAGACAATGGCTACAACTGTTATATTCGTACACAAACACAAACCACCATTTTACACAAACACAAACCACCATTTTATGGCTACAACTGTTATATTCGTACACAAACACAAACCACCATTTTATCATAGACCCAAACCCAACTTAACGAAACCTTATATAAATGTATATTATAAATCGTTTGTATACTTTTTTTTATAGCAACCCAGCCGTTGATGGTGAGGAATGGCCCAACTTCTCCAAGGAAGATCCCGTTTACTATGTCTTCAGTACAGATGAAAAAATTGAAAAACTACAAAGAGGTCCATTGGCCAAACGCTGCTCATTCTGGAATGATTATCTGCCGAAAGTTAGAAGTTGGATTGGTAAGTGTTATACTGAAGTTGTTAAATGTTATATATATAATATGAATGTTAATCACGAATTCCATGTCACGCACTGTTACAGCGTGCGAAATATAATCGTTTGTTTAGTTAAGAAAAATTTGTTTCCGAAATTTCTTTCGCAATTTTTATTAATACGCCTTTTACAATACCTGCTAATTTTTTTATGAATATGTTTGTAAATGTCGGAGATATTAAGAAAAAATTAGCGTACGCACGCGCTACAAAATTTTCCCTTTAAAAATTGGATATCAGTTTCGATATGAAATTTCTGCGAATTGGCTGGAGATAAAATTGCGGATTTTTTTTACAGCTATAATGGGTTATTCAAGATTATATTGACATTCAATTTTTTTGAGAAAAAAATTTCTAAGATATACTTTTTTAACTTTGAACACCGTCACGCACATGTTACACTCGTAACGCACTGTTACACACACATGTACTAAAAAAATTAAATTCAAAACAGAATGTTTTAAAAATGCTAGTTCTTATACCCCACACAACCATGTTGTCAGGATATTATAGCTTTGTGTGGCCCCAAGAACTTTGGTAAATCATTATGCAGTTATGGACGACATTTTTGCCTGTAAATTCGGTTCTAAAGCAACTTATTGAGGAAGAATGTAACATGTGCGTGACGGATACAAATTTGTTCGATGGAGATAGAAGACAAACTTTGTTTTATTTGAATTTGTCATCTCAAGATCCACACATAACAGCATTATCAAAAAAAAAATTCTCATATTAGAGTCTGTATAGAAACATATGCTAATTTTGTCACGCACGCGTTACATATTTTCTTACACTATTTAACTGCACTTACCACGGGATTCTCTTGGTATATGTATAGGTTTATATATATGTAATTCTTAGTAAGATATTACTTTATTTGAATTTAATATTTATTATTGATATTGTTTTAGCTAACAGCGTTCACACTTACGACAAATGACACTCTAAAACTAATAAAAATATGCCCAAGTTACTCTCCACGCGAAAATGGTACAACGAAAAGAAAAACTACGGTTATTTTTCAAAATTCAACTAAAAATATATTGTCCGGATTGCAAAGAATATTTCCTATATAATTTCATATCTCTCTTAACGAATTGATTTTTCACCTGTGGTTGACCTTTTTGTGGAATTCGTGATATCATTCTTTCTAACAATCTTTTTGAAAAATCCAACATTGAGCTTTTATATTTCATCTAACAATCTTCTTGAAAAGTTCATCGGCGATCTCTGAACAATTTTGAGCTCTGACATCCCTCTGAACAATCCGATAAGAAAAAAAACATGGTTATATCCCTCTAAACAATCTTCTTGAAATATCTACGCTTAGTTTTTTGACATCTCGCTAAACCGTCTACTTTAAAAATCTACGCTTAGAGTTCTGACACCCCTCTAATAAATATTCTTTAAAATTTCAGACTTATAACTCTGAAACCTCTCTTCCTAAAAAAACAAGTTTAGTGATCCGACATTACTCGAAAATCTTTTTTTTTTAATCAAGCATAAAACTGTCTTTATTCCGAAAATCCTTTTAAAATATCCATACTTAGAGATTATTCTAAAAAATCTTTTAAAATAAATTACATGCGGAGAGCCATGCATATCCACGCTTATACCTCTGATAATCTTTTAATAATAGGATATTCGAATATCCTTAAAATATTCCTTATAAAACCCAGGCCTATAGCTCTGATAATCATTTAAAAATATTTTTTAAAAATCCATACTTAAGGCTCTGATAATCCTTCAAACAATTCCTTAAAAAATACACGCTTAGTTCAGAGATAATCCTTCAAAAATTATTCTTTAAAAATTCACTCTTATAGCTCTGATAATTACTAAAAACTATTCGTTAAAAATCCATCCTTCAAAAAATATTCTTTAAAAATTTAAGTTTATGCCCATTAAAAATCTTCAAAAAAATATTATTTTAAAAATTCACGCTTATGACTCTAATAATCCTTAAAAAAATATGCCTTTTTGACAATCCTTCAAAAAAATATTATTTTAAATATTCAAGCTTATGACTCTAATAATCCTTCAAAAAATATTCCTTAAAAATCCACGCTTATAGATCTGACAATCCTTAAGAAAATACTCTTTAAAAAACGGGTATTATAACTTCGATAAACCTTTAACAATATTCTTTAAACATCCATGCTTATGAATCTGACAATCCATCAAAATTTATATGTTAAAAAATCCACGCTTATGTCTCAGATAAAAATCCATTCCTTTAGCTCTGATAATTCTTAAAAACCCCTCTTTAAAAAAATCCACGCATATAGTACTGATAATCTGGAAAACTATCAAATAAATCTGTAGAAAACATTACAGTGGAACGTTAATATCTTATAATGCGAGAAATGCCGAAACACCTTTAAAATACCAAAAGACCTATTATTTAGGCGAAGGGCTTGCTCTACTCCTCGCCGTGGTTGTGGTGGGAGATGGCCGGGTGATCAATGTATTAACTCTTGGGAGCGGTGCGAAGCGACAACAAGAGAACTCCCAAGCAGTTAATGGTGTATGGTACAGAGAAGAAAGTTCAAAAAAATAAAAAAAGAAAGTACTAGTTCAATTATTCTAATTATCTCGGTTTATTGGTGGTATTCTTTTCTATCAATCAACAACAAAATAACTCTAAGGAGGCTGGTCGTCAAGTGAACGCTGTGGTTCCTGCAATCACAGAGGATTGCGGTGATCGCTGAGGATCGGTTGTCGTTTACTACTACATTTACATATTGCAATGGGAGAAACTTGTCGATCAAGGAGACCAAAACAGCAACAACTACCGCTCGGTGGCATCTGCACTCTACGGTCTCCGTAGGAGATGCCCGTGGTGTCAATCAGCAGAAGTGATTGACTGAGCTCGGGAAGTTGAGTCAGAACGTATCAAACTTATACACCTATATTATGCAGAAATGGCTTCCAAATTCCGGAAATACATCGTGGTCTTTTTATGTAACATATGTCAAAACATATACCCATATCTAAAAGTTCTGCAAAAATGTTTTTCGCTTTCCCAGAATTCGAAATGAAAGCGAGAACTTCATATTGGACCAATGACATTTATGACCATATAGCAAATGATCTGCAAAAAATTGTTCACCCTCAGTGAACACTTTGGTGGGAATATGTGGTTAAAACCATCAAAATAACATCAATGTTGCGGGACCTTTACATGGGAGCTAACACAAAAAATCGACTTACTCTGAAAAAATGCTGAAAAAATATTTTGACTCTCTAAGGACCTTAAATTCTATATTATGAAAAATGTTTCTAACACCCTCAAAATACGAAATCGTTATATATCCAAAAGTGGAACGATAAATTTAATTTGAACTACCAAATATAATAGTAATAAAATCTCTATATTTCCACAAGATTATATTAGGTTGAGAAAAAGAGAATTCCATTATTTTTATATGAACTAAAGGACTTAATTTAACATGCTTCGGAATGTCAGATTTGGGCCAAATATGCACCGTTCTGTTGTATGATTTGTTGCCAGTTTAAAGGTATCTTCATAATGTCTCTCTCATAGAAGTCCTGCTCTATATTTGCAAAAAACTCTAGTAGTCGAGTTTCACAATCCCCCCAAGATAGATTATCATTAAAGAAAATTTTGCCATGGCCGAAAAATATGATAATCGCTTGGTGCCAGGTCCGGACTGTATGGCGGATGCATTAAAACTTCCCAACCAAGCTTCCGAAGTTTCTGTCGGGTCACTGTAGATGTGTGTGTCCTGGAGTTGTCCTGGTGGAACATGATACCTCTCCTCATGGCTAATTCTGGACGTTTCTGGTCAATTGTAAATGGTTTAAAACAGTTTTATGGTCGATTTTTAAGGGCTAAGCAGAATGCTCACGTTGAACCGTCCGTCGCGTTATTTGTGATCGAAAATACAACAACCACAAGGAAACGATATGCGTTTGTGTTATCGTTTCCTTGTGGTTTTTGTATTTTCGATAACATATAACGCGACGGATGGCTCAACGCGAGCATTCTGCTTAGCCCTTGAATCATTTCTCCAATTTCATCGACATTTTCGACATCAAAACTTCCTGAACGGAACCTATGAAATCAAAATTGCACATAATTGGCTGTTATGCTTGGCTTGCATTTTCGCCTTTGTCAAAGAAAAACTGTAAATGTTCACTTCCATTTTAACACCCTGTTACTCACAACTGAATGTACCAAACAAAAAACAGCAAAATATTTTTGTTCTGCGAAATGTCACCCTTCTAACGAGCATAAATCTGAAATTGGTTGATCATTACTTTACGAGAAATCTATCAGTACTGCCATCTGCCGAAAAATAATGGAATTATTTTTCTCCAACCTATTATTAGAAACCCAGAGGTTTATATTAGATATACACCACATCTTATGGTTCTAATAGTCCTGGGAAAATATTATTATTAAAAAAACCCTGTTTTTATCTCGGTCAGTTCATGAAAATATATTCTTAAAAAATTTGGTCAAAAAGCTATGAATACATTAAAGCTATGAATGTCCTTAAAAATAGTCTATGAAAAAATAAATTTCTGAGCTATTAAATATAGATTGGAATCTTTCGAAAATTCCCTGCTTTAACTCTAGATCTTGATATTAAAAAAAGCCATAATATGTCAATTGTAACTATGTATGTCAATTGTACCTATGTATTCGGATCTTCTCATTACTTTTTATACAAACTCCTATAATGTTCTTTGCTGGGATATTTTGCAGTGGGTTAAATTCGTTAATTATAACAATATTATTTTGATGTTCTTCAAATGCGCAACAATCTAAAGTATAAAATTTAATTAATAATCTTACAAGAAATATGATATTATGTTATCTTTTATTAATAGTTTATTATTTAACTCATTATTAACAGTATAGATATATAATTGATGTTAAACATCAATTAAATTGATTATAGCCTTCCTGGTTTTATGAAGCCACTAATGGACCACAC